ATAAGCTTTTTCGCAAAAATTAGACCATGACAACGCCCGGCGCAAACCCGCCCTCCCCAACACCTGCGAGGATCCAGGAAGAAGCAAACCCAGCCACGGAGACAGTTGCCGAAGGTCATCCCTCGACAACAGCGGTCGAACAACCCGAAATTCATGGTAATTTATAGGATAAATTTTCACCACATGACCACATAAATTTTGGCTAGCACCCCTTAGCATATGTTGCCTTCTGTTTGTGCTGCAGAATTGCCGCAGGAACAACATACGTCGATGTCGGGTGGGACAAGTGCAAGTAGGTCTAGTAGAAATCCCCGGTCACAAAATATATGGCCGACCACAGTGCAAGTTATAAGACAGGTTGACGCTAGTGGTAGGCCCACGGCGCCCAGGACTGTCATTGGAAGATGGTCTAACTGCTACGGGCTAGCGGCACGTGAGAACTTCGGGATCCTCCATAAAGATACCGGGAAGGTCACAGAAGCCGAGAAAGAGCAAGCTTGGACAACAATGGAGAAATGGTTCACATTTCCGGCTGAAGCAAAAGATAGGCTCAAGCGGAAGGCATTCCATAAGATGGGCAAAGCTTGGAAGAATTGGAAGTCGAAGCTCTTCACCGAGTTTGTCAACCCGTCCGGCAATCATACGTCGTTCGATGAGTACCCTCAAATAACCAAAGCGGTGTGGGAGGAATTCTGCTCTCTCAAGAACACCCAAGACTTTAGGGAATCAAGCGAGGCACATCGCCTACTGCAATAGCGGAATGAGCACCCGCATCGGCTGGGCACCGCAGGGTACATCGGCAAGGAGGCAATATGGGCCCAAGAAGATGCAGCCGCTGCAGTAGCGAATGTCCCTGCCCCGTTTTCAGACATCCCTGAACAAAGAGCTCGCAACTGCGCGCGGGCAAGGGGTAAGGTCAACCCGGACGGCTCTGTCACATTTGAGAACAAAAGTGATGCCGTCGTCTATCAGGAACTGGTGAGTGCACTACTTAACCTATCTAATTTCCGTTCGTATAAAGTATAAGTTCGTATAAACGACTCTTTTTTTTCTAGTTGGGCTTGGTTGCTGAACAAGCTTCACAAAGCGAGGTTGAGTCCGCGCCGAAGAGGCGCGAAGATGACATCCTCACAAAGGCGCTCGGAACCAAAGAACATCCTGGCCGGACTCGGGGAATTGGTAGCGATGTGCCCTGGAAGCATGGACTCCCGCAGTACAGCTCCCAATACAGGAAACGGAAAGTCTCCGAGGAAGAGAGGGACGCTCGTTTGAAGGCCGAACTTAAGGTTGAGGTCATTCAAGAACTAGAAGCTAGCATGAATGCAAGGGTGGAAGAAAGGGTTAACAAGGTCCTCGCCGACATGAATATACCCCGAGGAACAACACCTGCTGTGCATCCAACTCCTCGTGCACAACACGACGCGAGTCCGTCACAGCATAGGAGTAGTTGTTCATCCACAGAGGTGCCGGCCCCTGGTCTCCCGGTCGCACCACTAGCTGCAGTGGACCACATCGAGGTAATTGATGTTATCCGATCCATATCTAATAAAAAACCTTTACACGTTCCAATATTAAATTCAAACTTTCACATATGCAAGGCGCAGCATAGTGTGTCCTACTAGCGAGAGTCCACCCAACTTTCGCTCCTGAAGTCGCTGAGGGCATGGATTTCAAGCCCTCGGTTACAGACAAGGTCCACGGCGCAGACCTGCTAGCTGGGTATACCAAGGTGTCCATCGATACAGTAAAGGACACCTGGTCAGGCTATCCGCTGCCCGTGCCCCCCAATGATGAAATCATGACTTTGGGCGATGCGTGCAAGACGTTCATACAATGGCCCAAAGAAGACATAGTTGTGAAGATGACTCCTCGTCCAAGTCGACCGACAGAGCTTACACCTCCCAAGTCTAAGCTATCAATTGAGGCTCCCCATAGACTGGCATTGTCAGTACCTCAATCTCCTGGTGGAGCTGATATGGACTTTGCAGATATAGCTCAAAGCTTGGCTCCAATAAAGACCACAAGAAAGGCCGATAGCTCCCCACCACTTGTCAAGGGCCAGAAGCGTGAACGTGGCAAGGGGAAGGTCGGGGAGTTGGCACCGGAGCCAAAAAGGGGCAAGGCTGCGACGTCGATGCCAGTGAGCAAAGCGGGGAAGGTCGTGAGGGCGCCAGCCCAATTTGAGCTAGGCATGCCATTGGTGGAGGACAATGTGTTAGCCGTGATGGGTATTGCTTGCCGAGAGCTACATAAGCAATACATGGAGCTAAGCAATGCCAAGCGGAAAATGAGGGAGTCATCCATAGTTGGACATCACGACCACCAGCCATTCCTATCGTCGCTTGCCTATATAACTATAGGCTTTGATGACCTCTTCGACCTTTTCAGGATCCGGAAGTTGGACACTGGTCTTCTAAAATGCTACTCCTTGTATGTGCATACCTTCTATACTTGTGATATGATTGGACTATATCTCCTAATTAAATTAGTTCTAATACATAAATGTTTTAAGGTTGTGTTGGATCGAGAGTCGTCACCTTGGTAATCAGGTTGGGTTCCTTGATCCATCCATGGTGAACGAGGTTAATTTACGACAGAGCTTCACTGAGGTGATTCACTATGTCAACCGGTGTTTATGGGCCCATCAAGACAAGGAGTACATCATGTGCGCACACAACCAAGAGTAAGAGGACAATACTCTTCGTGTATACTGTTTTTGAAGTTAAGGTTCTTAGTAATAATGCTACATAACCACTGCGCAGGCGACATTGGATTCTCCTAGTCATCGTACCTAAGTGGAGTAGGGTTACCTACCTTAACTCCAATAAGTCCAAAGATTATGATTTCAGTGAAATCACCAAGGCCTTAAATATGGCTTGGGGCCCATATGTGGAAAAGGGTGGTAGGCACAAGGAGGGCAAGGACGAACTTTATCATGACACCAAGTTTGCATGTGCACAACAGATCGGAGACCAATGTGGTTTTCCACGTGTACCACAACATGTCAACACTTCTAAGAGAGGTGAAAGATTTCGACCCTGAGGTTGTTGCTAATAGCGAATAAGCTCATTTCAATACCAACATTGCTATTCAAAACGTGCTAATTAACCACTTATTTATTAAACAGAAAGGCAGAGCTGGCTTCAAGATCTCACCCATCAACCCCCCGCTATCAGAGGCGAAGTGTGCGCCTTCATTCTTGCAGAAATAATGAACAAAAAAGGATGTTTTCATGTCAAATAGACTCATGAACTTGGCTAGATAATTTATTGTGATGTAAAAAAGATGTTTTTATAATTTCTTGTGATGTAAAAAAATATGTTTTTATGGAGTGCAATATAATTTACTTTCATATATGCAATATTTATGGTAGTTTACTAAATTGTCATCAAATTTGATCAACTACGATTTTACGTTGTACTATTCATCTGTTTTCTCCTTTTTTTTTCCTTATTGACAGGTTGTGGAGGTCGAGGACATTATGGCTTTAATCCATTTGGTAAGTATATATGCGGTTCTATGAGCAACGACCGAAATTGTGGCTTTCAAGGGGTGTGAATTTGCTGTGCAAAATTGTGGCATTTGAACTGCATCTCTGTGTTGTTGGGGATCTGTGATTTTTGAGATGGATCTGTGATGTTATATTGGGGGTGACTGGAATATATCTGTGATGTATCTGTGTTTCAGAGGGCATGGCTAGCAAATCCTGAGGCTAGCCAATATTTAGCATTTATTTTTTTTCTGGAATTAACTCATCAGTGACGGGTCGGAACAAAAATCCGTCAAAGGTAACCTAACCTACGGACTAGCAAATAAAGGCCCGTCAGAGGAGACCTACCTGTGACGGGCCTTTACTTTTGGGGCCGTCACAAGTAGATCACCTGTGACAGCTTCTAACTACGGAGACCACAACCTCTGACGGCCTTTATTTAAAGGGCCGTCAGAGATAAGTCACTTGTGACGGGTCCCAACTCACCCTAGGCTAGCGGAGACCAACACCTCTGACGGCCTTCTAGTAACTTGCCCGTCAGAGGTGGATGTCACCTGTGACGGCCGGCCACCCGTTAAAGGTGACTGGACTCACCAGTGACCACTGATCACTGACCATGCGTGAAGCCGTCAAAGATGATGGTTTGGGTCCGTGACAGGTGACCTTGGCCAGTGTAGTGTGTGCTCTCACGTGATTCATCGGTTTTGCATGCCGCCGCATTTATCCTTCACTCCAGTGTATAATTCTTGCAATATAATATTAAATATATTTTAGAAACATATAATATTCAACAATACTAACTGCAACACTGATAACAACTATAAGAAACATTGATTACTAACGAGTGAAACATAGAAAAAAAATCATATAATTAAAAGTTAACATGTATTTGCAGAAACTTGATGATGTTGAAACATTTTTATATTATGTCCGAAACATTAAGTTGTAAATATTGAAACATTATAAAATACTCACTAAAACATTCAAATAACACCATGTAACATTTACAAATTAACTAGTAGTGAAATAGCATAAAATACTAGCTGAAACATTTAAATAAAACCACACGCAATGTTTAAAACAAATAAAATTTTAAAAAGCTAAATATTTTTTCATCGGAATATAACCATGTGCTATGTGTGTTTCCTTTATAAAGATTTGATCACAACAAATTTAATGGTGTAATCGGATCATTGAATAAAAAAGTAATTTGCAAGAAATAAGTATTTAAAAATTATATTAAGAGGGAGGTATGTTTGCATGTTATGGGTGATGCTGCAAGATGCATGCATTAGAGTGAGAGTGACAGGACTTTTGGGGCAAAGTACATTACTGCAGAAAGCCTCATCAGTGTTGATTTCAAACTCCTCATAGGTGCCGGTTTTTATGTAGATTTTTCCTCATGCAAGGTGGGAGACAGTAAGACCGGTACGTACGAGCCATAATCTATTAGGTGATTTGTAGTAGTGGTAATCTCCCATACATTATAGAAATGAATAAACAAATGAAGTATAAAAGAATAATACAGCTTACAGTTTATTGCACAATCAAATCGAAAGGAATTTCACACTTACAAATGAGTATCCAACATATTTGTGTTGTACTCGACAGTATAATTAACAAGAGGAGCATCAATAATGGGTGTTGGCCACCGAGCACTTGAGCCTGACCTCCGTCGGAGTCCACCAATGCTTCGGCCGTATGTTCCCCATCTTAACCATGGCCCTCGCGAAGTCGGCGAAGAACACATCGCCGTTCATGGCGTACGTCTTCACCAGGTCGCCGGTCTCGCACCCCTGGGTGTAGAGCTCCTGGTCGGATGTGAGGAGCCCGCGCCTCGCAAGCAAGTCGACGTAGTAGGCGTTGTCGAACTTGGCTGGCGTCCGCTCATCGAACGGCGCCGTGGCGTTGCCGTGCTTCTGCTCGCACTCCTGCCTGCGTTGCGCCGCGAATGAGGGGTCGATGCTGTCGCCGCCCTGGCCAACGAGGCTGTAGATGCGTTCCTCGTAGTGCTCGCAGCTGTGCGTCCTGCCGACGGTGTGCGCGCCGGAGAGCGCGGTGAGGTCGCGCTCGTCGAGGTTGTTCTCCTTGAACATCCTGATGAGCTCGGCTAGGCTGTCTGTCGGTCTCGGGAGATCCTTGTTGGCCATGTCCATGCGGGCGGCGAGGGAGTCCTTGCGGCCGAGGAGCACGCCCCAGCTGGGCCCGCCGAGCATGGCGACGGCGTCGCGGGCGGCGAGCGCGAGAACATCAGCGCAGGAGACGGTGGCCGGGCAGCTGCGCTCGAGTTCCGACTTGATGTCTTCGATCACGTCGTAGCCGACGACGGAGGCGTTGGGCTTGGCGTCCTTCTCGCTCTCCATGGAGTCCGTAGCGTTCAGAAGGATGGAGGCATCACAACCCTGCAAATGTCACCGATGATTGTTAGACAAATGCATTTCGTGATGCTCTAATGGTGGCCTCCTCGTACGATCGAGAGATTGTGGTGTACTTACGTTGACGAAGCAGTCGTGGAAGAAGAGGCGGAGGATGGCCGGCGCCGTGCGGGGGTTGGCGGCGGCGTGGCGCTCCATGACCGAGCGCACGATGCTCTGCGCGTTGGGGCACGTCTCGTCGTAGTAACTCTCCGTGAACTCCTCGTGACCGAAGGGATTTGGAAATCCCTGAGCGGCGGAGGCGAGAGCCGCGACAGCGACGAGCAGAGCAACCCAAGCGACGCCGCCCTTACACCTAAACGCCATGGCTGATGGTCTCCCTCCGGCCTCGAGAGATCGATCACGATCGACAAAGCTCCGAAACGAGAGATCGATCGAGCCCTAGGCCCCTAGCTTAATGATTAGCTTCGCCTTGGTACTGACAAACTCCGAAGTGATGGTGAGCTCTGCTGCTGCTGGCTGCTGCTGATTGCAGATGTTGTGGTGGATGATGATGAGTAGGAAGCATGCGTTATATAGATGGCCAGTTAACGCGTGGCGAACGTGCGCACGACGGGGTCCCTGGTCTCTGCAAGCGCAAGACCAGCAAAGCTCGTGCGGCAACTCGTGACGAGGTCACCAACAAGAGAAAAAAATGGGAAAGTATAGAGAAAAGAAAAGTAAGGAAACGAACCAAAACAAAACGTGTCTCTCTACGGGTAGTGGTCACATCGTACACTTGCAGGGTTGCAGCAAATGAATTGATCAAAGGATATATTCATCGCTGCTGGACGGGCTAGACTTTGATCATTATTGCATGGTCGGATTAACATATGTATAAACTACTGTTCACATGTCTTCATTATTCTATTTAGCACGAACCTAATCAATTGGTGACTTCTCAATTATTGATTCGATGCCTGCATGCATGCATCTGTTACTCCCTCTACCCCATAATATAATGAATGGTTAAAGTTGGTATGGTCTCCAAAACTAATTTTTAGCTTATAATTTCTCATACATTATAAGGTTTGTAGCAACAAAATGATAACCATATGAAAATAAATTTAAATCTCAATCTAATGATATAATTTTAACAAATACTACATCCATCCTAAAATATAATTAACAACTTTTGGCTATGAATCTGGACACAGTCAGGGCCGCCCCTAGGGGGTGTCAGCCCGTGCGCGCGCTCGAGGCCCCCAAAATCCAGGGGCCCCCATGGCCCATGGCCCATGGCCCACGGCACCCCCATGTATGCTACTTCGCAGGCCTGTATCGTGTGAAGACGGAACACGAAGAGGAGCGACCGAGCGAAGGAAAATCGAAGCGTCGAAGTCGAAGCGATCTATCTAACTCCCGTTCCCGATTCCCATCGCCTCGGCCCTCGATCACGCCACCTGCCGACCTGCTGCCTGCGTCGCCTACTCGCCTGGAGGCTGGATCACGGCATCACGCCGCTGGCCGATGCCGCTGATCGCTGCACAGCATAGCTACTGCTGCAGAGTGCAGACGCAACGCTACCTGCTAGGTTGAGAGCTCTTGCCTCTCGCACAGGCACAGCCACAGCTGAAGACTCTAAATATATATAGATAATTTTATCACATCGAATATTAAGTGGTGTGTTTATAAGACTATAAATATATATATTAGTTTATGTATATATATGGGGGCCTCCATATAAGTTTTCGCCCTGGGGCCTAAAAACCCAGGACCGACCCTGCACACAGTTGTCCAAATTCATAGCTAAAAATACTTACATTTTGGGATGGATGGAGTAAATTTATTTCATATTATACAAAGTGTATGTTGGTCAAACATTTCAAAGGTTGAATCTTAATATACGTGCGCGCCTCGTATTATTGGATGGAGGGGGTAATATTCAAGAAAAATAACTTGATGACCCATGGATCCTTGATCCATTCCAAGTCTCCAATGGGGAAGATGGACAAGGACTGATTTTCTGATTAATTGATTATAGTTTATTAGTAACTGGTATTAATTAATGAAGCTGCTGACGTCTCTGTAGCTTTTCTTGTCGCAAATAGACAATCGAGCTGATTAACTATTTGGACAACCGCGTAAGAATTGATGCTATGAATCCGATGCATGTTTTTATGTTTGGAAAGGTTCTGATCAATCACACAGTTGCTGTGAGAAGTTCGTTGATGGATTCATATTCAACCTCGGGACTAGTTATTGCTCATTCACACAATTTCAAGAGAAAATTACACAGATTTTTAACCATGCATAATATATATCTTCACATTAGAATATACGAACAATATGAGACAAATAAAAGTAATTAACTAGATTAAAACAATAAGTAGCTTCATTAAAAACAAATCACCCGAGACTCCTAACCAAATAAGTCATATTTTTTAAACACATTTCTAACAGTACTAGAGAGCTCCAAGTATATATAAAGTACTTATATTGTAGATTATTGGACTACATTATATATATTTCCTAATTTAAAGTAAAAGTATTAATACATAACTTAAAAGTTACATTTTAACTGCTGTGTAATTTTGTTGTATGACCTTGAGGCAACTTAGACTTGTATACAGAGGACAAGTATCCAGAACGTGTACTGCGCCCCAACCATTGCCGAAGTCCCGGGGCCTCAAGCGAACCCCAAGGTCAGGCCAGCTTAGACTATGGCGAGTCGGCGACAGGATGTGATGCTCGGTCTAGACTATTACACTCTAGGCACTGCCGATGTCTAGGGACCACAGTCATTAGCCTGGGATCGCACGCTCACTACCAGAAACACTTTAGTAAACACTTTATTTTCATTTTATAATAATAACACTGTTTCATTCACATACGTTTTTTTTATTTTCTCAATGCAGTGCATTAGAGGCTCCAAAAGTGATTGGACTGTTGCTCCAACTAATAAGAACAGAAAATATATATCGCGATGTGGTATAACAATTTTCATACCTTGTACTTGCTTGCTTATTTCCTAAGTTAAGCTTTTGCATTCTTGAATTATATATTTAGATAGCTGATTTGGAAGGTAAGGCGAATTTTGTTCTACATCTATGTCATGAAACCTGGTTTGAAAAATGACCTTGCACTTGTAGTAGTTCAGCAACCAGTAGGAAAAGGGCCCTAAAATGCTTTGTATGTTCTCTCTACCTTGTGTACTTTAATCTTATTTCCTCATATATATGTATATATATACTTAGTAACGTTCATTGACCTAGGATGATGACCATAGCCGTGTGACCAAATGTATCCAAGAATCATGTGAGTTACCGGATAAGTTACTTGAGAAAATAAAAGCTCAAGACCTGCTGCAGGGATTGGATAACTATGCATTATTGTTATTTTAGTTGCTGCATGGGCATGCTTTTTTGTTACTAATTAGAATTGGATGAATTAATCATAAACTTTTCGAATCGTTGCAAGGAACTGATTCTTCCCCATGTAAGCTCACAGCAAGTTGACTGCAATGGCTGCCACAAAAATGATGGATGTGATATTGCTTCCAGCAATGGTGGCAGTAACAACACCAGCAACAATTGTACTGGTTGTTTGAATGCCTCTCCTTGATGCTGTTGCAGTACATGTCATGCGAGATGGACTAAGGTTTTTGGACATACCAATGTGGAGTTGCGGCATATGCTAATGCTTTTGGATATTTTGTATATATGGTTCTAACCATATAGATGGAGGGTGAGACTCTGAAAGTTACTATTAGGTGTCTTAGGCCAGGCAAACTTCAGAAGTTCATGCTTGTGTGTTATGTTGAAATAGTGAACTAGAACTATGTATGATGATGATGGATTTGACCTTTCTATTTTTGGAATGCAATATTGAATTTGAGCAGTTTACGTGCTGTGTGATGAATATCAGAATGACCATATTTACTATTAGATATTGTGTACATATGGATCATCCCTGTATATTGTATATTACTAAAAAAAATGGATGAATAATTTTCCTGACGGTTCTACCCGTCACAAAAATCTCTTTGACTATCAAACCTATCTATGATGGGGGAATATCACTGACTGTGCAATTCACGTCAGGAAAATTAATCCTGACGTGCGCTCACGTCAGGAATAGTTTTCCTGACGGACAAACGTCAGGCAAATTATTTTTTCCCCGACAAGCTAGTTCTGACGGTATTTTTCTGACGTTGACACGTCAGGACCTATTTTCCTGACAGTTTTTCATTTATTCCTGACGGGTTTTAGCCGTCAGAGGTAATATTGTTTCTGGTAGTGGCTTTGGGGCTTCCTCCTGCTCCCGAGCATGTGGAGCACCCAACCTAGGTTGCAAGTGAGCGAGGGAACGACCCAGTTAACAATGAAGTTATTAACATATCAACAAGGAGGATCTTGACCTTGGTCCCATTTGCTCCGTGCCGGTGCCCGGGGTCGAGGCCAGGGACTACTATCAGTGAAATGGGTACCAAGACCCCTACCACCGGATGCTCAGGGTGCCTAGGGACACGCCATCAGATTTGGTGGACCACACAACTAGCAATCCGCCCTAAGCAAAATGACTAAGATGCACCTGAGGAGAAACAGAACAATATCATATGCCCGCGACCTAGCAGGGGGCCGGTGAACTCTGGGTCATCCATATGGCCAGGTATCTTGAGCTCGGCATCATTCCTACGAGAGTAGGTTGGGCCCTGAGCTTGATATGCGGCTGCCACCTTCCCACAAGCTCGGGCCCCAAGGGTTGCTCGAGGTAGAGGCAGCACATTGACCGTGATGGGATACGGCATGATGTAGTTGTCACCAACCAAGTAAGCCTTGTATTAGATATGAGGCAACGCATAAAAACCTAGTGTGTGACCAGGGCAATAGGCAACAGGACAGCGCCTGCACAGCTGTCGCATGTGCCGTTATCACCCCTGTGGTCGAGGGGAGTATGGTGCCAGAATTTGCATAACTTTGATAGAACATGCAGAAAATTGAAGTATTTTGTACTAACATTGCTGATAAATGTTTGTCTATTGACAAGTTTTTTCCAGCCACCATACAACGGAATGGCAAAATTTGCTATATGACATCCAAAGTTTGTGGCCTTTGCTGGTAGACACCGCTAAAACGTGAATTAGCTATAGGACACCCAAAAAGCTTGGTTATTTGTTGAAAGACGCCGCAACGATTATTTTATTACTTCTGTGTTTAATGGAGAGAGAAACACATGAAATTGACAAAACTTGGGCAATGAAGGTGACGATCATGCATGTGGGGTCGGCGGCAACACTTGCGACATTTCTGGCGCTTCGCCATGCTGGCGTGGACGCCGTTGGCACTGCATCACTCAGCCGTCAACAACCGAAGATGGCAGTCGGCACAGAATTGAACGAGAGGGGCGGCGGTGAGCGAGGAGATCAAGATGGGAGTCGCGCGCGACTGCGTCAGCGCGTGGACCCGAGCTGAGCCGCGGGTTTCGTCATCGCGCTGCACCTGGAGCCGAGGCAACAAACGTCTTCTTGCATGTGTCCGGTAGGTCGGTTGTCCAAGCGTCATTCAGCGTGGCCGAGTTGCAGTGCCTGGAGTTTATATTCAGTATGGCACCAAAATTTTCTCCGGAGGAGGAGAGATTGCATCCAGTGTATTTTGTACAGTGGGCCCCATATACTTTGTATTTTTTACATGAATGGGACAGATGTGTCTAGGTGCACCTATAGATGGTTTCAAGCCTGCTGTACCTCACCTACAGATGCACCAACATATTCATCACTTATAGAGGCTTTAGAAGAGGAGGGCAATATAGACATTTTGCATAGCTTTCTCTCCTTGGCTGACCAGATATTATATTTTAGGGAGAATTGCAAATATGCCACTACTTTCAACCCCTAATTCGAAATAGCCATTATAAAAACACAAACTGCAAATTTAAAACTGAAGTTGATTTTCTGTGCTTCTGTTTGCCACTGCCGTCCAAACTGATGCAATTAATAGGACAAAAATAATTAATTTAATGGAAATACAAAGCAACTTGATAAGACTGTTTTGCCCTTGGTTAAGTTTATGTCCTCCCGGCCCTAGGTCCCGACCTAACCACAAGCCAGAACGATCCCCTCCTTCTACCTCTATGAACCATAGATTCCAAATCCTATCATACCTTTTAAATCGTGAGCAAATAAAAATAAAATCAGTTGCAATGAAGTAAGTGATGGCAATGAAGAAAGAGCTGATGGATTTTGGCGAGTAGGCGACGGCAGGTGGCGGGTGTTGTGGTGGTCAGTGTTAGAGTATATGGTAGTTAGAGTTATATTAGGATATGATTGATTTGTGTGGATTACTTCCATATCTGTAATCATTCCTTATCTCCTCGATCTCTATGTACTCATGTATATTTGTCAAATATTTACAGTATTCATGTCTTCCCTATAATATCCGACATAGTATCAGAGCGGGCGACCTAGAGCGGGCATTGTGCATGTATGCGAGTGATTGAACTTCCAGGGCAAAGTGATCTCCCATACATCATAAAAAAATGAATAAACAGATGAAGTACAAAAGAATAATACAGCTTACAGTTTGTTGTACAATTAAATCGAAAGGAATTTCACACTTACAAATGATTCCAAAATAGTTGTGTTGTACTTAATAGTATGGGCATCAATAATGGGTGTTGGCCACCGAGCACTTGAGCCTGACCTCCGCCGGAGTCCACCAATGCTTTGGGCGTATGTTCCCCATCTTAACCATGGCCCTCACGAAGTCGGCGAAGAACACGTCGCCGTTCATGGCGTACGTCTTCACCAGGTCGCCGGTCTCGCACCCCTGGGTGTAGAGCTCCTGGTCGGATGTGAGGAGCCCGCGCCTCGCAAGCAAGTCGATGTAGTAGGCGTTGTCGAACTTGGCCGGCGTCCGCTCGTCGAACGGCGCAGTGGCGTTGCCGTGCTTCTGCTCGCATTCCTGCCGGCGTTGCGCCGCGAAGGATGGGTCGATGCTGTCGCCGCCCTGGCCGACGCGGCTGTAGATGCGGTCGTCGTAGTTCTTGCAGTCATGTGCCATGCCGACGGTGTGCGCACCGGAGAGCGCGGTGAGGTCGCGTTCGTCGAGGCCGTTCTTCTCGAACATCCTGATGAGTTCGGCCAGGCTGTCTTTCGGGTTCGGGAGATCCTTGTTGGCCATGTCTATGCTGGCGGTGAGGGAGTCCTTGCGGCCGAGGAGCACGCCCCAGCTGGGCCCGCTGAGCATCGCGACGGCGTCGCGGGCGGCGAGCGCGAGAACATCGGCGCAGGAGACGGTGGCCGGGCAGCTGCGCTCGAGCTCGGACTTGATGCCGTCGATCACGTCGAAGCCGGCGAGGGTGGCGTTGGGCTCGGCATCCTTCTCGCTCTCCATGGAGTCCGTAGCGTTCAGAAGGATGGAGGCATCACAACCCTGCAATGCATGTCACCGATGATTGTTAGACAAATTAAGCATTCGTGATTCTTCTAATGGTGGCCTCCTCATACGATCGAGAGACGGCACTGATGATACTTGTCATCGGTGCCGGTTCTAGAACATGTTTTGAGGTCAAAACCGATACTTATATGGTCCTAATAGGTGCCGGTTTTTTATGGCAAGACAAAGGTGTCGGTTTTTGTCTAGAACTGGTACCTTTGTCTTGTCATAAAAAACCGGCACCTATGTGTAGGGCCCACCATCAGACTTAAAAAGCACTATTGAAATAAAGGTGCCGATTTTTTGTCGAGAACCGGCACATTTGTCTTGTCATAAAAAAAAACCAGCACCTATGTATAGGGCCCACCAACGGCTAGTGTGGGAGGGAGAAGATTAAAGGTGCTGGTTTTGGGTCTAGAACTGGCACCTTTCACTAACACAAGTTTTAGGTGCGGTTTTATTTAAAAACCAGCACCTATTTGAACATAAAGGTGTCGGTTTTGAATATTTAGCGCGTGGGGGTGGGTGCATGGGTGGAAAAGGCATTATAGGTGCCGGTTTTTGGTGTGTCGGCACGTATAGTGGCGACACCTATTTGCCTTTTTATATTAGTGACATCGCCACTGGACGGACGCGTGCTAGATTTTGATCGAAACATATATCGTCGGAATATATGAATTATACTGTCCACATCTCTTAATTATTTTGTTAAGCAGGGACCTAATCATTTGGTGACTTCTCAAGTTCTGATTCGATGCATGCATCATCTGTAGTTATTATTCAAGAAAAGGAACTCGCGCGGTGATGACCGATCGATCCTTGATCTATTCCAAGTCTCCAACGAGGCAGGTGGACAAGGACTGGTTTTCACTAAAAAATAATAATCTTTGATGGTGAGGCGAGTTCTTATTTGGAATTATATTAATAAATTAAGCTGCAAGCACGTATCTGTAGCTTTCTTTGTCCGAAATAGATCGAGCTGATTATTTGGACCACCGCGTAAGAATTCATGCGATGAACATTCCGAATGCTGAATGCCTGTGTTTGAGTTTTGAAAGGTTCTGATCACGGTCACACAGTTACTGTGATGAATTCGTACATGGATTCATATTCGGAATAAGTTCACTTTGTGACCCTCAAAAGTGATCGAAATCTAATCCGTGATCCTAGACCACAAAACCGGATATTTCAACCCCAAACACTTAAAACCGGTGCAATTTAATTCCCCTTACGGTTTTGGAGGTGGTTTTGATGACGTGGCGCCCATGTGGCGGTATTCACCGGATCTCCCTTACACGTGGGGTTGACGTCGTGTTTAGGTGGCATGTAGAATAAAAAAATATGTGTGGGGCCCATTTGTCATTGACACATAAAAAGAAATTGTGGGACTCACGTGTCCCTTCTCTCTGTCCCCTCCCTCCTTGCCGCTCCTCTCTCTCTCACGCGGCGGGCGGTGAGGGCCGGAGCAGCGGCGGGCGGAGACGGCGGCAAGTGGCGGAGGCGCGGGCATGGTGTTGTGGCCTGCGAGAGGCAGAGACGAGGGAGTGGCGGCAGCAGGCACTGGAGCGGTGACAGCGGCGGCGCCCGGGCTGAGCTCCACTGCCTCCTCACTGTAACACCCCGATTTTCGTTCGGGATTAAAAATTATTAAATAATGCATTTTCTAGAAATTATATTAAAAGTTAAAGCAATTTAATCAAGTGAATTATAGAGGAAATTAAAAATTTCCTTTAAAAATCATGGCCGGGAATATTTTATAATATTCTTTATGCCCTAAAATACTCTCTGAAATTTCCCGCGAATTTTCGGAGCTCAGGAAGTAATATTTTTAAAGTTACAAAGTTTGTTTAATCAATTTAAATAAAAAGAAAAACCAAACAAAACCCCTCCCCTCCTCCCTTTGGGCTTGGCCCAGTCCTTCCTCCCTGTCGGGCCGGCCTCCCTCCTCTCTCCTCCCTCATTCAGGCCGGCCCAGCTCGCTCCCCTCCCCTCCAAAGGTCACATAACCCCCCTCCCTTCTCCCCCTCTGGCCGACATGTGGGACCTGACATGTCAGCTTCTTCCCCAACCTCCAGCCCGGGCCAGCAACCGCCATGGCCGCCCGAGCCGCCCACATAGCCGCCGATTCCAGCCCTCCCGCTCGCGCCATCGCGCCCAAACCGAGAGGGATCGGATCCCCTCCACTCCTCCACTCAAATCCCCCACTCTCCCCGAGAAAATCGGCGATGAGCCGATCCACTCACCCACATCACCAGAGTCCCACGCCGCCGCCCGTTGCCGCCCCGTCCGGCCACGTTCTCCCCTCCCCGAGCCTATAAAAATGCTCCTCGCACCACCCTCTCCCATTTTCCCAGTTTTCCCGAGCTCCCCGCGCCTTCCACCACTCTTCCTGTGCCAATCCCCATCGCCGTCGCTTGCCGGCGCCCTCTGGCCGCCCGCCACCACTGCTCTAGCTACGCCCGCACTCCACCGCTGCCACCATCGGCATCGCTGTGCCAAGCTCCACCCCGGCCCATACTCCATTCTCCCTCTCCACCTCCGAAACGCCGCCGCCACGCGCACCACCTCTCTCCGCCGCTACCGCCGACTCCAGCTGCGCGCCACTGCCGCCCTGGTCATCGCCACTCTGCGCCGCCGCCACCACTAGCTCCGCAGCCCCTCCCCACACAACGGCCGCCCCTTTATTTCCCCGAATCACCACCGCAATCACCCCTTCACCATGAACCCGAGCTCCACCACCTCCCGTCGCGTCCATCCGCACCTTGCCACCACCCCTAACCACCCCGCACAGCACTGAGGCTGTCGTCGACATCACCGTGCCGAGCACCACCCCAGCATCCGCTTTGCTTCCCCAGATCGCCACTGCAACCACCCCTCTGCCGCGAACCCCTCCCCAGATCGAAGTGAAGATGCAAGGCAAGTCACACATTCCCCTTGAGCATGTTGATCCCGATTTATAAATGATTTACCATTTGCAAATAAATATGCATGTTTTGCTAATTACATGGGATCAGGGTATAACCTATCTGCTTGCTTGTGCTATGTTTAGTTGTTACCCGTCCTTTATCAACCCTAGGTGATAATTTATCTAGCTCGTGATACTTATGTTGATCTAGCTAGAATTATATATGCTTAGCCATGCTTAATTACCACTAGCTCACATAATGGGATAATTATAGTGTTAGACCTTTTAGTATCATGACGAGCTGCGTGTTCGAGACACCCGACCATGTTTCATAGGTCGTAATTATCCAACTAAAATTCGACTGAATGGTGGGCTGTGGGTGCATGGTTTTGCTAGTCGCACCCATGGCAATTAAGGACCAGTTCATGGGAAACCATGGAAGACTTACAGTGCTTGCAAGCGATCGGTCTTGGACAACTTGCCTCCAGATCTTCCTGCGAAGGTAAAAGCAGAAGCAATGGCATGGAGATTGATGTTAACTCTATCCTCTCCGATTAGGACTTTGTATATCACCTAATCCGTAGAGATATTTTCCATAATTCGTGACAGATTCCTACAACGCATACGGAAACAACCCGTGTACGTGAAGGTATACCATACTCGTATATTCTATAAGTTGTAGGGTAGGAGATATGCCTTATCCATAACCATAACACAAACGGAAGTTTCACAAGAGATTTAACATGTTGCTTATTTTCCTATGCAATTGACCATAGGAATTGTCGATGTTTTATATCAGCAAGAAGTATACGAGACCTAAAAGTGAATGGATATAAGACCTAAAAGTGGACGGATGTGGAAGACAAGGGCTTAGACAGGTTCAGACCCTCTCGATGAGAGGTTGTCCTCTACTCCTATCCAGTTTGGTGGATTGAATTTGTCAGATTGTATTAATCATGTGATATTAGGTTTTTATCTGGTTGCCCTTGAGGGAGCCCCCTACCTACCTTATATGTTGGGGAGAAGGTTATAGAGAGGAAAAGTTAGCCGGATACTACTTCAGTTTCCTAATATATAAATGGTAGTATTCAGCCGGGGCTTTATGCCCTGTTTAAGGATACAAGACAACATAGTGACCGAGTCCTACTCTATTATATATTAAATGGATCCAACCTCTGTAGTCAAATATGTAGGCCATGTAGATTCCCGGTACCCATAACCTTCATAGGAATGCATTTCAATGAAATTTTCTATTATCTTCCTGTGAATCAAATGGTTCAATTAATTATCTAATTTACGATTCAATTATATCATTGTATTCCTTATAATTAAATATTTATAACACGATCTCACATGATTATACTTTGATTAAAAAATTAACGTTGTTTCACTGGAAATTTGTTCCCCCTTTGTCAAAACGTTTCAACTCACAATGTAAAATGTATGAGAAAAATAAAACATTCAAAGATACTAACTGCAGCACTAACAACAACTATATGAAACACTAATTGCCAACGAGCAAAACATACAAAAAAAACATATAAAAATACCATATTTTGCAAAAACATGATAATGTTGAAAAGTTTTAATATCATATTCAAAACATTAAATATTGAAACATTATAAAATACTTACTATAAAATTCGAATAATATCATACAACATTTACAAATTAACTAGTATTGAAATATCATAAGATATCAACTGAAACATTTAAATAAAACACATTAAAAGAAATAAACTAAAAAACTAATTACTACAAGTGTGGTCTTGTTATAAAAAGATTTAATTACACAGAATTTATTGATGTGATCCGCTCATAGAATACAGAAGTAATTTGAAAGAAAACATTATTTAAAAATGAGTACTCTTTAAAAAAATTATTTATTGATGTGATGTTGCATTGTGCATGAGTGGTTGAACATTCAAGGCAAAGTGATCTCCCATACATTATAAAAAAATGAATAAAAAAATTGAGGTACAAAAGAAAAATACATCTTACAGTTTAATGCACAATTAAATCGAAAGGAAATATCACACTTATAAATGAGTGCAACATAATTGTGTTGTACTCAACAGTATGAGCATCAATAATGTGTGTTGGCCACCGAGCACTTGAGCCTGACCTCCGCCGGAGTCCACCAATGCTTTGGGCGTATGTTCCCCATCTTCACCATCGCTCTTGTGAAGTCGGCGAAGAACACGTCGCCGTTCATGGCGTACGTCTTCACCAGGTCGCCGGTCTGGCAGCCCTGGGTGTAGAGCTCCTGGTCAGAGGTGAGGAGCCCCCGCCTCGCGAGCAGGTCGACGTAGTAGGCGTTGTCAAACTTGGCTGGCGTCCGCTCGTCGAACGGTGCCGTGGCCTTGTCGTGCTTCTGCTCGCACTCCTGCCTGCGCAGCGCCGCGAAGGATGGGTCGATGCTGTCGCCGCCCTGGCCGACGCGACTGTAGATGCGGTCGTCGTAGTTCTTGCAGTCATGTGCCATGCCGACGGTGTGTGCACCGGAGAGCGCGGTGAGGTCACGCTCGTCGAGGTCGTGCTCCTTGAACATCCTGATGAGTTCGGCCAGGCTGTCTTTCGGGTTCGGGAGATCCTCTTTGGCCATGTCTATGCTGGCGGTGAGGGAGTCCTTGCGGCCGAGGAGCACGCCCCAGCTGGGCCCACCGAGCATGGCGACGGCGTCGCGGGCGGCGAGCGCGAGAACATCGGCGCAGGAGACGGTGGCCGGGCAGCTGCGCTCGAGCTCGGACTTGATGCCGTCGATCACGTCGAAGCCGGCGAGGGTGGCGTTGGGCTCGGCATCCTTCTCGCTCTCCATGGAGTCCGTAGCGTTCAGAAGGATGGAGGCATCACAACCCTGCAAATGTCACCGATGATTGTTAGACAAATGCATTCGTTATGCTTCTAATGGTGGCCTCCTCGTACGATGGAGAGATTGGTGTACTTACGTTGACAAAGCAGTCGTGGAAGAAGAGGCGGAGGATGGCCGGCGCCGTGCGGGGGTTGGCGGCGGCGTGGCGCTCCATGACCGAGCGCACGATGCTCTGCGCGTTGGGGCACGTCTCGTCGTAGTAACTCTCCGTGAACTCCTCGTGACCGAAGGGATTTGGAAATCCCTGAGCGGCGGAGGCGAGAGCCGCGACAGCGACGAGCAGAGCAACCCAAGCGACGCCGCCCTTACACCTAAACGACATGGCTGCTGATGGTCAGATCAGATCAGATCACGATCAGATCGATCGAGCCCTAGCTTAATAATTAGCCTTGTGCTGACAAGCTCCGAAGTGATGGTGATCAGCTCTGCTGCTGCTGCTGCTGATTGGAGGAGATGTTGTGGTGGATGATGAGTACGAAGCATGCAGCGAATCGTTTGCGTTATATAGATGGCTAGTTCACGCGTGGGCGTGGCGTGTCCCCAAGCTGCGCGCGCGCTCGTGCTCGGGAGAATACGAGAGCGCACGACGACGGGGTCCTGGTCTGCAACAGGGCAAAGCTCGTGCTCACTTGGCGGCAACTCGTGACGAGGTCGCCAACAAGACGAAAAATGGGAAAGGAGAGAAAAAACGTAAGCAATCAAAAGTTACAAAACAAAACAAAACGTGTAACACTCAAATACTAGTATATTAGTAACAAGTTGTCACGTACCAACCCAATGTTGTCAAATAATTCAGAGGTCACACATCGTACACTTGCACTATGCATCAATGAATTGATCAAAGGATATATACATCGCCAGTCGCCACTGGACGGGCGCGCGCTAGATTTTGATCGATACATATATCGTCGGAACAAATGAATTATACTGTCCACATCTCTTAACTATTTTATTAAGCAGGGACCTAATCATTTGGTTACTTCTCAAGTCCTGATTCGATGCATGCATATGCATCTGTAGTTATTATTCAAGAAAAGGAACTCGGTGATGACGACCGATCGATCCTTGATCCATTCCAAGTCTCCAACGAGGCAGGTGGACAAGGACTGATTTTCACTAAAAATAATAATCTTTGATGGTGTGGCCAGTTTTTATTTGGAATTAAGTAATTAAGCTGCAAGCAAGTCTCTGTAGCTTTGTTTGCCCGAAATAGATCGAGCTGATTATTTGGACCACCGCGTAAGAATTCATGCGATGAACATTCCGAATGCTGAATGCATGTGTTCGAGTTTTGAAAGGTTCTGATCACAGCCACGACACTGGCCGGTCTCTAGGCCCAATTAGCTAGCCTGCCGTTAACACCGGCCCATCATCCTCCTCAGCCGTGGCCGAAGCCGAGGCCACCTTATCGGTGCAATTGATCTTGATTGAGTTGTATTTTGCAATTTTATTCGAAGCAGACTCGTGTTAAACTAGCCAGAAATTGCTAAGTACATGTTCTCATGGATCAGAAAATTTAAGCTGGTATAGCTGTTGATCTGAGTAATACCTGCATGGCTGCATCATTGAATTATACACAACCGTCCTAATTCCTAAAGAAACAAGAAGGAATAAATCTACGTAACCCCCGAACCTATTACCAGGTGATTACTTAACCCCTCACCTAACAAACCAGGTATTTAACCCCCTAACCTTACTAAAACCATTTAATTAAGGGGTTTTGGACTATTTGCCATTCTCCCAGATGGCGTGTTCTCAAATGCCATTCTCCCGGATGACTTCGCTATTTTGCCATCGGAGAGAGAAGATTTCTTGCTTGTGTGCTATTTTTTAGCCCGCAATGCGCCACGTCACCCGATCCGAGGGCAAAATGATTGTCTTGTCCTTCTTCTTCCTCTAGCTCAGGTCCCTCTTCTCTAACCTTCCTCCCTGCATGTGAGCCGGTGACACCACCACCACCACCGCCGAACCGACCTCCTGGTGCTGGGTGAAGAACGACAAGGTAGGAAAAGCCCTAAGGGTGGACCTGGCACAGCCGCCGACATCGGGGGAGAGTGTAGAAAAGCTGAGAGGAGGAAGACGAAGTCGGCGGTGATGGGGTGAGGAACCGGCGATGCCACAAAAGAAAAGGCAGGGGCCGGTGTTGGCCGCAGCAGAATGGAGCAGGGGCCGGGGAGGTAAGGAGCAGAGCGAAGGAGGGAGGAGTGCGAGGTGGGGAGCTCACCGGAGCCCAAGAACCTCGCCGGAGCGAAGGAAGGGGATGAAAGAGACAGAAGGGGAAATGAAGAAGAAGGGCAAGACGGTCATTTTGTCCTCAGATCGAGTGACGTGGCGCCTTGCGGAATAGCGAAGTCATCCGGGAGAGTAGCATTTGAGAACACGCCATCCGGGAGAGTGGCAAATAGTCCAAAACCCCTTTAATTAACCCCAGGCCACACTTGACCAGCCGGCCACGGTGGATCAACGCGTGTGTGGAGGATGGCGTGAATAAAAACACGAGCGGTTCTCTCATCGTTCTCCTTGGCACCTCCTCTCTCTCTCTCTCATTCGCGCGAGCACAACTCCGACGAGGCGAACAAGCTGCTTGTCACGCCCTAAAAATCTTAAATATATAAATTGTTGTTTAATTGGAATTTTTAGAAATTGTTTTAAAAGCCTACAAGCTAAACCCTAATTTTCTAGGAAAATTTTCAACATAAAAGTAGGCTAGATAAAATTTTATTAAATACTATGCTTGCTCCTCTATTTTCTAGAATTTTCTGGGAATTATTTGAGCAAGGGAAGTATTTTTAATAGTTGAAACAACATTTCACAAATTGTTTTATTTAAAAAAGTTCAAAAAACCCCTTCTTTGGTCGTTGGGCCGAATTCGGCCCAATACTCCCTCTCTCTCCGCGCGGCCGAACCGGCCCATGCCGGCCCAAGCCGAGCCGCCCGCCCCCTCCTCCTCCAGCCGCTGACATGTGGGGCCCACATGTCAGGGCCGTCTTCAACCTCCGGCCGCCGCCTCGCAAGCCGCCCGAGCCGCCTCCTTTCTCCTCTCAAATCCGCCTCAATCCGACCCCGATTCCTCCGGGTTTTTGAGGGGTTTTGTTCCTCTCGTTCTCCTCTTTCTTTTCCCCCAAAAATCAAAGCGAATCGTTGAGTATTCTCTCCGAATCGAATTCGTTTTGATTTTATCCCTAAAATCGAGTTTGATTTCTTCCCGAATCGATTCCTCTCGTTTGGAGCTCGATCTCTTCAATCCAATGCTATATAAAGCTTCCCCTCGTCGTCCTATTCCGTTTGCCCCCTCTCCCGAGCTCTCCCGTGCCTCCTAGCGCCGCCGCGACGCGCTCCAAGTCCGCCGCCGCCGCCGGCCGTCTTCGGTCACGTCGCCGCGCCGTCTCCGCCGTCGCCGCCGCTTGCCGTCATCGCCGTTAGGTGCGCCGTGGTGAGAGGAACCTCGGCTGCCCCTCCTCTTTCGCCGCCGACCACCGGAGCCCCTCCGCCGCCGTCGACCCGAGCCGCCGCGCCGCTTCTTCTCGTCGCCGGCCGCCGTCGTGCATCGTTTCTCGTAGTGGTGAGTACCATCGGGTTCGTCTCGATGCCCTCTACGCGTAGATGCCCTCCGATTCCGCGGCCGACCTCTCTAGCTCCGGCGAGCTCTCCAACCCGAGCCGGCCGTCATTGCGACGTCAGCATGACGTCAGCATGACGTCATCACCAGGGCTGACGTCATCATTAGGGCTGACGTCATCGTTTCCTTTTCTTTTTCTTTTCCCGATTTTCTAATAGATTAAAACTTCGGAAAATCATAACTAAATAACCGTAGATCCGTTTTAGGTGGTTCAAGTTTCTAAATTCTTCTAAAATCAAGATCTACATGTTAAAAATATCCACATGTACTGTTTATGCTTGTTTTTGTACTGTTTTATTGATTTTGTTTATTTGCTTTAGTTTCCGACGTTCCGGAGGAGAGCGTTTCCGTTGAGGAAGGTTCCGAAGCGTTTGCGGAAGCTCAAGGCAAGTCACACAGTTCCCAAACAACCCTTTGAGCATGTTGATCCCATTTAAAGCTATTATTTTATTTCAACTGTGCATTGTTTTCGAATGTCATCGGGTGGTGAGCCTTTCCCTATTAATTAATGGCCGAAGATGACTTTATTTTCCTATGGGTTATAATTTGATTAGCATGAACCTTATATATTGGATTGGTTCAGCTAAATGCTATATATAGGTTTGCTTAGCCATGCTTAGAAACATTAGCCAACTAAAAGGGGTTAAATATAAATTATATTACATAATTATTATGAATAATGGTTATTTTATATGGTAGCTCACGATGGTAAGTCGTGTGATGTTAATTAATTGATAATTAAGATCTGACTAAGGTGGGTTGTGAGCATATGGTTTTGATGGTTGTGCTCATGACAATTAAGGACCGGTTCGCGAGCTACTGTTGTGAAACATTTATCGTGCCAACCACAAGCCAGCGTAGGCAACGGCTTTATCTTTTGTATAGCGTGATTCGTTATAGTGCGCCAGACTGAGAAGTGGCGAGAAGTCCACGGGGGTCGCTGGGGAGTCCATGCCTTGTTTATAAGGGGGTGATTATGATCCAGGAAAGGTGCGCTGTAATGGGTTATGTTGTATGTCACACCCTGATTTTCGTCTTAGGATTTATAAATTATTTAATAAATTATTAATAGAATTTATATTAAATGTTCATCAATTTACAAGTGAAGTTAAATGTGGGAAATAAAATTTCCTAAATATAAAGCATGGATGGATTTAATTTTTATTAAATTCTCCATGGTTAATTATACTCTCTGGAATTTTCTCGGATTTTTTGGAGCTCAATTATTAATTTTAATCATACAAAGAGCATTTCAGTAATTACCCACATATTAAATTAATCATTAAATGGTCTAATTATAATTTTGTTAAGTACTTTTAGTGTCCAAGTATTTTCAGGATTTTTCTTGGAATTATTTGAGCATTGGAAGTATTTTTAACAATTGAAAGATCATTTAAGTGATTATTTTAATTGGAAAAAGTTTTTAAATCCTTCCCTAAGTCGTTGGGCCGATTTCGGCCCAACTCTTTCTCTCTCCGCGCGGCCGAACCGGCCCAATCGGCCCAGCTGCAGCCGAGCCGCCCTTCTCTCTGTCAAAGTCTGTTTTGCCTCCCTCCTTCAATCGGGCCTAGCATAGGAAACCACACAGAAAAGTCTAGTTTGCCTCCCTGCTACAGTGTCGTCCCTAACCTCCAGCCGGCTGCCTAGCTGAGCCCGAGCCGCGCGCCGCGCCGCCTTCCTCCTCTAAATCCGCTCCAATCCGACCCCGTTTCTTCCGGATTTTTGAGGGGTTTTGATCCTCTCATCCTCCTCTATCTTTTCCCCCAAGAATCGGAGCAAATCGTTGGGTATTTTATCCGAATCAAACTCGTTTTCGAGTTTATCTCCAAAACCGAGTTTTGATTTTCCCGGATCGATTTCTTGCGGGAGGAGTCCGATCTCTTCAATCCAAGGCTATAAATAGGACCCCCTAGTCCTCCTCTTTCGTTTGCCCCCTCTCCCGTCCTCTCCCGTGACCCGTAGAGCCGTCGCCACCGTGCAAGCCGTCGCCGCCGTCGCTTCTTCGTCGCCGGCCGTCATCCGTCGTCGTTCGTCGCTTCGGTGAGTACCATCGGGTTCGTCTCGTCGTCCTCTACGTGTACATGCCCTCCAATAGCCCGGCCGACCTCTCTAGCTCCGGCGAGGTCGCCACCCATGTCGTGGCTGCCGTCGATGACGTCATCAGTTTTTCTTTTTCCCGTTTTTCTAATAGATTAAATCTTCGGAAAATCATAACTAAATAACCGTAGATCCGTTTCAGGTGGTTCGAGTTGCTAAATTTTTCTAAAATAAAGATCTACATATTAAAATTGTCCATAAATTGAATTAAATTTATTTAATTCTTTTTAAATGGGCTTTAATTAGATTTGATCTTGTAAAATTCATAATAAATTCATTTGAAGTCGAAATAAGGCCGTTCAAGTCTCATAATTCATCTAAAATTATGATCTACGTGTTTGTTTACTTTTTATGTACTGTTTATTTGGTTTTTATTAGTTTTTTTCTTCGTTTTGCGTGTTAGCTTGTCGTTTCCGTCGTTGCGAAGGTTCGTGAGTGCGTCGGAAGTGATCAAGAAGATTAATTGAAGACCGATTATTGCAAGGCAAGTCACACAGATCCTAAACACAATCCTTTGAGCATGTTGATCCTATATTTAAATTCTCTATTTGTTTCAACTGTGCATTTATTTTCGAATGTCATCGGGTGGTGTGAACCTATTCCTTTGTTATGGCCAATTTGCATTGAATGCCCTATTCCTTGATACCTTGGGGTAATAAAATTGATTAGCTTGAACCTTATGTATTGGTTTGGTTCAGCTAAATGTTATGTATATATATAATTGCTTAGCAATGCTTAGAAACATTAGCTCACTAATGGGATGAATCATATATACTACATTAATATTTATGGTTATATTTAATGGTAGCTCACGATGGTTAATCGTGTTATGAAAATTAATTGGTAATTAAAATATGATTAATGGTGGGTTGTGAGCACATGGTTTTGAAGGTCGTGCTCATGGCAATTAAGGACCGGTTCGCGAGCTACTGTTGTGAAACATTTATCGTGCCAACCACAAGCCAGCGTGGGCAACGGCTTTATCCTTTGTATAGCATGATTTATTATAGTGCGCCAGACTGAGAAGTGGCGAGAAGTCCATAGGGGTCGCTGGGGAGTCCATGCCTTGTTTATAAGGGGGTGATTATGATCCAGGAACGGTGCACTGTTTTGAGTTGTGTTGTGCAAAGGGTATTGTCACGATTTCCCCCTTTGCAATGCCGTGGTGGTATTTCGGGGCATGGCAACATGTGTGGAATCGTGTCTTGTGGGTACAGTGGTACACCTCTGGCCAGAGTAAAACTATTCGAATAGCCGTGCCCGCGGTTATGGGCGAGTTGAGCAATGTTTTTCGTGATTAGTCTCACACCTCTCACAATAATTATGGATGTTATATCTGGTAATAATTTGCTTAGCTCCTGGTTTGGAGTTAGATCTGTTCAGCCGGGTATGGTTGTTCAGAATGGTTGGGCCTGTGCAGCATGGGTGTGCTGTTCAGTGTTGATTAAAATCGATGATTAACTACTCTACTGTTTTACTTATCTTAAATGTTTTGCTAAATGCTGCTTTCGCAAATGAGCCTATATTATGCCATCCTTTGGAATCTTTGTGCACTTGCATATTTGCTGTGTGGCTTGTTGAGTATGTCATGTGCTCATTCTTGCAATAATCAATCAACCTCAGTTGAAGAAAAAGGATCCAGAAGGAGAAGACGTTTGGCTTATACCCCAGTTGAGCTGCCTGTGGGAGTGGAGCCGGAGCTTCGCTAGATTTTATTTTCCGCTGCAGTTTTCTTCTTGGTGAGGATTAAGTGCCTCTTAAGTAAGTATTTATCGTTTTAGTTAATTTGATGAATCTGTATATTAAATTGTCAGTTTGTGTACCTCGGCTGATTCCTGGACGAGGATTTAATGCACAAATTAGTTCGGAAATTACTAGTGAATTTCCGGGCGTGACATTGTACAAGGGGTATTGTCACAATTCCTTTCCGAGATACCGTGGTGGTATTGAGGCACATGGTGACATGATGTGGGGTTGTGTCTTGTGGGTACAGTGGTACACCTCTGATCAGAGTTTAATCTATTCGAATAGCCGTACCCGCGGTTATGGGTGAGTTGAGCAATGTTTTTCGTGATTAGTCTCACACTACTCATTAATGGTAATAATGTGTTAATTAATTTAATTCCTGGTTTGGAATGGTTAATTCCTGGTTTGGAGGTTCAATTTGTTCAACTGGGGTTGGTTGTTCAAATGTGGTTGGGCCTATGCAACACGGGTGTGTTGTATGGTGTTTATTTAATATTGATTAATTATACAACTGTTTTACTATTCTCTTAAATATTTATTAAATGCTATTTTCTGCAAATGAGCTATATTATGCCATCCTTTGTTATCCTGTGCACTTGCATATTTGCTGTGTGGCTTGTTGAGTATGTCATATGCTCATTCTTGCAATATTCATTCATCAGAAGAGGAGTTTCTCAGTGAAGGTGATGATCTGGAGGAATAGGCTTGTTCTCGGTTAAAATGCCTGTGGAGTGGAGTCGCCATAGCTGTTCCGTAGTTTGTTATAGTTTTTTTTCCGCTGCGTAGAATATTATTTCTTGAGAGGAACTATCTACCTCTGTAATAATTTTAATTTGCGAATATTCGATAGTTATTTATTTGTACTCTATTATCAATATTGTCATTGTGTGCCTCGGTTGATTCCTGGACGAGGGTTTAACACACATGTAAGCGTTTGGAATTTTGGATAGAAATTCTGGGCGTGACACTGCTGATGACAGGGAGTAGATCCACTTGATTGGATTGCAGGGTGAGGTAAAGGTGAGTCTCCACAACCCTTTCTGTGTTTTTTTTTTCCAACCAGGCTATCTCTTAAAGGATTAGGGTTAATTCTACAAGGTCTTTTAGTTGTGGGTTATGTATTTTCTTTGTGAAATTTGGATAGTGCTATATTGTAGGCAGTTAAATTCTCATCACTTTTTGTGAATTTCTCGGTAATTTTACTGCTTGATGATTTTGGGGTTTAGGGCTTATGAACACAGAAATTTGCTCCTATGTTGGTACCAGAGGACACATAAATTTGCTTTGTTTGTGTATGATCTTGCTTTTTTTTTTAAGAATAACGGAGGCTAGAAACCTCAAATAATATATACTGTACGATCTTGGTGGTTGTAGTAATTTAATCTCATCAAAAGTTAGGATTAATTTTTTTTCTTATTTTTGCAGGAATGGATCCATCGGATTTTCTTCCGGTCAGGTTTCACTATAGTGGGGAATTCATGTTTTCTAGGGGGCAATTGCATTATGTGGCAGAGCGTACTGCATTGTCATACATAGAGCTTGACAAGATATCTTTACCTGAGATTATAGGTTTCTTCGGTGACCACATGCCAGTTAGTGGTTTATTACACTTGCATTGGCTGTATCCTGGAAAGCAGTTGTCAGATGGGCTAAGGTTTTTGCTTGATGACAATGCTTGCATAGAAATGGCAAATCATATGTCTAATAATGGTCAAGTTGCAGAAATTTATGTTGAGCATATAGCAATTGATGAGGGGCAAGATGATAATTAGATTGCTGATTGGGGCTATGACATGGCAGAAGCTAACGATGAAGCGAAATCAGATTCAGAGGCAGAGCTACATCTTACTGTTGTTCTATGTACAGATAAGAAGGGAAAATTGAAACCAAGAAGAGCATCATCTCAAATTCTAGAGAAGCCTAAAGATGTAGATGGGCCTGAAAATAAGAGCAACCCTGAAGGGCAAGTATCTGATAGTTCAGACTCTGATTATAGGCAGCCTATAGAGCAAAATAGCTCTGATAATGATGAGGAAGCTGAACAACTTTGGAAATTTGCAAAGGAAATCAAGAGAAACATCAGGGCAAGGAAGCTAGGAGTGCATAGCAACCAGGCTGTAGAGATACTTGATGATGCAAACTTGATCTCAAGCTGAACAACTTGATGTATTGGTTTATTGGGTTGCTACAAAAAGATCTCAATATAAATGATGGAGGTGAAGGATGGGTGATAATTTCTGACCAGCAAAAGATATGCTTTTTAACTGTTTATCTTTTAACAAAATGTGCAATGGGTCATAAGTTGTAATAAATATTTTGAATTTTGTCTTGTAGGGACTCTTAAGGGCAGCGGCTGAGCTTATCCCTAGAGTAGAACATAGGATATGTGCAAGGCATATATATGCAAACTGGAGGAAAAGGTACACTAATCAGAAGCTTCAGAAAAAGTTTTGGAACTGTACAAAGTCATCTTGTAGGGAGCTTTTCAACTACAATAGAGCAAAGCTAGCACAAGACACCCCTCAAGGAGCTAAGGACATGATGACCACCGCACTTGAACATTGGAGCAGGGCATTCTTTCAGCTAGGGTCCAATTGTGAATCCGTTAATAACAACATGTGTGAGTCTTTCAACAACTCTATCATGGATTCAAGGTTCTTTCCAGTCATCTCTATGAATGAGGACAAAGGCAGATAAGTGGCAAGGTACAATATGCCCAAACATATTCAAGAAGCTGAAAGTCAACATTGAGAGATCTGGCCAGTGTTATGTGTTGTGAAATGGACAGCATGGATTTGAGGTTCAAGAGAAAGAGAAGAGGAAGTACACGATCAACTTAGAACAGAAAACATGCAGCTGCAGTTATTGGCAACTATCAGGACTACCATGTTGTCATGCTATCAGTGCAATATACAAGGCATCAAAACAATTGGATGACTACATAGCATCAAGTTTCTCTATCTTAGAGTACATGAAGACATACCAACATTGCTTGTAGCCAGTTGAAGGGAAGGACAAATGGCCAGTTTCTGACATGCCAAAGCCACATCCACTTGCTTATGTTAAAATGCTCAGGAGGCCCAAAACTCAGAGAACAAGAGAGCCAACTGAGAAACCTAAGGGAGCTAAGCTAAGCAAGGTTGGCATCAAGATGAGATGTAAATTGTGCCACCAAACTACTCATAACAGCCGGACCTGTGCTCGGAATAAAGAAGCTGGGAGTAAGAAGAATGGTTATATCAGGAGGGATGCTACAAGAAAACGGAAGCAAAGTGGGGTCTGCTGCTGCTACCTCATTCACCATGGTCTTATAAAATTGTTATTCTCAGATTTTCTATTGTTTTGCTCATTGGCTTAACCTATCTAAAGTATGTTTTTTTTCATCTTGTAGGGTGATGTGGGCACCCAACAGAGCATTAGCAGAAGCTCTCTGCCTCCAAGTGTTGCTACTCCAAGCTCTGTTCCACTTGTGCAACAGAAGTGCAGGAAGAGGGCTAGACCAGCTTGAAACACTTCGAGACTTGCCCACCTACTGTTTTACTCCATCATATGGAACTATAACCAAAGATGTGTGTTGGGGAAAGATGAGATATTTGTCTTTTTTATCAGGAATTAAATGCATCCTACTACATGTCTCTTGTTTTGTGAGAGACACTTGCTACCCTGTTTTGTCAGACCTGATTGCTACTTAGTTTTTTTTCTACTTGTTTCATGAAAGATTGTGGAGCATATTTGTGTGTGTAAATGGTTTGTCTAAAAATTTATATTCCGCCTCTTATTTTGTTCGTGCTACTGAATTCTTGCACTTGTATGCAATTCCAACTTCAATGGCAATGTCAGGAACCATAAAAATGGTACAGATTTTCAATGTAAATAGAGGGATAGAGGACAAGGCTTTGCCGGAGAAAATCAAGTGACCCTCACAGCATGCCTGTTAATCCATCTGTCCAACATGGCATGCCAGCAAGGCAAAACCAGGGAGCAAAACCACCATAAGGGGTTAATTAAACGGTTTTAGTAAGATTAGGGGGTTAAATACCTAGTTTGTAAGGTGAGGAGGTTAAGTAATCTCCTAACAATAGGTTGGGGGTTATGTAGACTTAATCCAAACAAGAAAAGGGGAAGCAAAATAGCATCACATAGGATGGGTATTAGTGTCCACACTCAAACAGGGAGTGTTATTGTGTTCAATCGGGCAAACTGAAGTGCTGCTTGTAGCAGGACATGCAGGCTTTTCCAATGGGCAAACCCTACCATTTTATTTCTTCAAGGAGGACAACTGCATGCAAACCTGATTGATGATCGAGATATAAAACTTTATTTTTACAGCAAGACATAGCAGCACAAAGTCACCACCATTTTAACAGTGATGTTTGCTTGTTTGCCCAAAGGGTATACAAGGCAATTTTTTTTCAGTAACACAAGGGTTTCCATAGCAGGAACCAGGGTTTTAAATCCCCCGCTATAGCTGTTTGAGAAGAGTTCTAGCTATTTGCTCTCATGTACAATTTAGCCGTTATAGCACCATTTAGCCCACTATAGCTGTTTGAGAAGCTAACCGCTAAATGCCTTATCCTGCTATTTAAAACATTGGCAGGAACAAATGATATTGTCCACAGTACAGGTGGGTATTTATTCCAGCCAAACTGTGACTAAGGTACACCCTATGCATATTTAGCCTTCACCTTTTCAAACTCAAGTGCCGCAAAAATCTTCTTCCAGCTCCTTATGGCGATGAGAGTTGGTAGGAAAAAGTATACTTTGACTCCCTCAACTATCACTCGAGTATGATTTATGTCCTCCAACACAAAACCGGGTATATCGACTCCTCTAACTATCAAAACCGATGCAAAAAATGACCCTGTGTGGTTTTGGAGGACATGGCGCCGACGTGGCGGTCTTGACCGAGTCTTTGTCCCACGTGACGCTTACGTGGCATTAGAATAAGAACAAAAAATAAAAAGGAATATGTGGGACCTACATGTCATTCACACAAATAAAGCATTGCGGGACCAACTGACTTGTGGGACCCACATGTCATCCTCCCTCTCCTTCCCTTCTTCCTCCTTCCTCCCTCTCCCTCCCTTATCTCTCTCTCTCCCTCGGCCTTTCTCTTCGGTGGGGATGGCGGTAGGGAGCGGTGGCGGTAACGGGCGGGAGCGGTGGCGGTAGCGGGCGGGAGAGGCGGCGATGAAGGTGGGGACGGTGGTAGGGAACAGCGGTGGGCGGTGAAGGTGGCCGACCGAAGCACGAGATCCGCCTCTCCTCCAAACTCCGACGGGCCACCAGCCCCATCCTCACCGCCGCGATGAAGTCCGACCTGGAGAGCCTGATAGAGAATACCCTCGCCGAGCTCCACCTCCTCTTCGCCCACCTCCCCGCCACCGCCTCCGGCTCCCTCCTCGCCCTCGGCCTCTCTTCCTGCAAGAACCTCTGCATCCAGCCTCAGCCCTCAAGCCTTCGCAGCCGCCGCCCACGACTCCGTCGTCACCGCCCGCTGCCACCTCACCGCGTCATGGGTACTCGACAAGGCCACCTACGACCCGCTGCCGCCGCCGGTGACCTTACCTCCTACATGCCCCTCAGCGTTTACACCCTCGCCGACCTCCGCGCCCTCGGCTAGGACCTCCCTCTCCCTACCGCTGCCGCCGCTCCCTACCGCCGTCCCCACCGCCACCGCCGCCACTCCTGCCCGCTGCTGCTGCTGCTCCCAACTGCTGCTCCGGCCAAGGTGAGGAGAAAGGCGGGGGGGAGAGAGGGAGGGAGCAGGAAGAAGGGATGGCGAGGGAGGATGACATGTGGGTCCCACATGTCAGTGGGTCCCACAATGCTTTATTTGTTTGAATGACATGTGGGTCCAACATATTCCTTTTTATTTTTTGTTTTTATTCTAATGCCACGTAGGACAAAGACTCGGTCAAGACTGCCACGTAGGTGGCACGTCATCCAAAACCACCCAGGGGTATTGTTTGCACCGGTTTTGATAGTTGGAGAAGTCGATATACCTGGTTTTGTGGTTGGAGGACATGAATCATACTTCGGCGATAGTTGAGGGACTAAATGTATACTTTTTCCGAGTTGGTATAAGGGAAAAGTCCATTTTACACCCTCGAACTCTTATGCTTGTCTAAAATACACCCCCGAACTACAAAACCGGATATAATACACCCTCGAACTGTCAATACCGGACACTTAACACCCCGGGCTGTTTTTACCGTGGTTTTTTACACGTCGGCTGCCACGTCAGCCCTCGCCACGTCAGCGCACAACATAACATGGGCCAAGCCCATATTCTCTCCCCCTCTCTCTCCCTCTTTCTCTTTCTCTCCCTGCCCTGTTTGTTCTCCAGTCTCTCACGACCGTTGGCAGCGGCGGTGGCACGGAGCTGCGAGGGCGACGGCTACGGCGGCGGCGTCAAACTGCGAGGGCCGCGGCGGCTGCGGCATCGACGTCGGCGTGGAGCTGCGAGGGCTGCGGCTGCCGCGTTGGTGTGGAGCTGCGAGGCGGCGGCGGGAGGGAGCTACTGTGAGGGCGGTGGCGCTGCCCCGATTGCGCGGACGGTCGCCGGTGGAAGCCTCTGCGCGTAGTCATCAACAGAAGGTCCGGGCGTCATCGCCGCACGCGCCCTTGGATTTGGCTTAGCAGGGAAGAAGCAGCTCGACGCGTGGTGGAAGCAACGACGTGCATTGGTCTTGGTGTACAATCTGGGAAGTCTTCACAAGATACAGTCAATGTAGGTTAATTACATCATCTGAATCTGAGACCTGAATTTGTGCATACTAACATTTTGCTCTTCTCTTTTTGCTTGACATCGGTAAGAGGAGAGTGATAAGGACTTCTCCCCGCCACCGCCGATGCCGACGTCGCAGCCGCCGCGGCCCTAGCAGCTCGACGCAACAGCCGCGGCCCTCGCAGCTCGACGCAGCCACCGTAGTCGTTGCCCTCGCAGCTCCGCGGCGACACCGCCGACGCAGCTGCCGCCACCGGTCGTGGGAGAGAGGAGAACAAACACGGCAAGGAGAGAGAGAGGGAGAGAGAGGGGGGAGAGAATATGGGCTTGGCCCATGTTATGTTGTGCGCTGACGTGGCGAGGGCTGACGTGGCATCCGACGTGGCAGCCGATGTGGCAAAAACCACGGTGAAAACAGCCCGGGGGGGGGGGGTTAAGTGTCCGGTGTTGACAGTTCGAGGGTGTATTATATCCGGTTTTGTAGTTCGGGGGTGTATTTTCGACAATCATAAGAGTTCGAGGGTGTAAAATGAACTTTTCCCTTGTATCACAACCCACAAACTGTTGGGTCCAATGAAATAAGCCCAGAAGTAGAACGGACTAGCCCAGAAGTTGAAGCCACCCAAGTAGGCAAGTAAACCAAGCATCCGTAGAGCTGAGGAATAAGTTCACTGGAGGTCCCTCAATTTAACAGCGAGATTTCTTGAGCTCCCTTAACCACAAAACCATAAATGTGTACCCCTAAACTCACTCAAACCATTCACCGGAGGTCCCTCGGCAGTATTTTTGCCCGGTTTTGCTGACGTGGCATCCTAGTCAGCAAAAAAAATTAAAAAAACACATGGAGCCCACATGTCAGCTTCACATCTTTTTTCTCCTCTTTTCTTCTCCTTCTCTCCTCTTCTCTTTTCTTTTCTCTCTCTTCTCTTCTCCTTCAGGCTGCGGGTGGAGCAGCCGCGCGCCGTGGCCGCCGTCGTCGTCGCCGTGGGCGAGGCTACGCGGCGCGGCCGTCCGGCGGCGGAGCGGAGCGGCGAGCACGGATGCGGGCAGCGTAGCGGAGGGCGAGCGCGGCAACGGAGCAGCGGAAGGCGCGAGCGCGGCGGCGGGCCGAGCAGTGGAGCGCGAGCAGGCCGCGGACAGAGTAGCGGAGTGCGAGCGCGGCGGCGGAGCGGAGGCGAGCGAGCGCGGCGGCCAGCGAGTTTGGGAGGGAGGGGGAGGCGGCCGGCGACCAAGAAACAATCGCTTCCTCTGCCTCTTCCCCTTCCCCCGCCGGTGGTGCCTCTCCTAGCATCGTCGGCCACCCGCGGGGGCACGGCGGTGGTGGCGGCCGAGCACGGGGGAGCTCCTCGTCCCATCCACTGTCTTCCGCTTCGCCTAACTCGCCCTCCGCTGCTTTGCCCACCGCTGCGCTCGCCCGCCGCCGCTCCTCCGCCGCGCTCGCCTTCCACTGCACCCCCGCATCCGCGCTCCTCCGCTGCACGTAATTGCATATATACATGTGAGTGTGCTCAGCCATATACACATGCTTGGCTAATATATACGTCTGCATGTTATCGGGCGGCAAACCAACAAGAAGCTAGCTAGGCTATAGCTGGTCGTCTCCATGCATGCATATATATGCTCGTACGAAGACGCATGTACATGCGGCCGTCTGTACCCGGAATATATGCGTATGAGCTACGACGTCAAGTGCTACCGCGACGTCAACGAAGACGACGAGGGTTACCGCGCCCGCGCCGACCACCGTCCACGACGCCGATGGCACGCCGAGCGTGGACACGCTCCTGCTGCAGCTGCGCGAGCTGGGCATCCGGGAGGACCATGGGATCAGGCCGGCGACGCTGCCGCCGCCACCACTGCCGCAGCCGCGGCACAGGAGGAGCGTGAGCGACTGGGGTGCATCGTCAGCCGGCACTTCGAGCCACCTATGCACGGCCACTGCGACGCCTGGCCGATGCCGCCGAACGGCCGCGCCGTGTAGCCTCGCCCACGGCGACGACGACGATGGGGAGCCGACGACGACGGCGGCCACGGCACGCGGCTGCTCCGCCCGTAGCCTCCGCTGCCTCCGCTCCACCGCCGGGCTCGCCCGCCGTCCGCTCCGCCCACAGCCCGCCACCGCTCTGCTGCCGCGCTCAGCCATCGCGGCTGCGCCCGCCGCCAGCCTGAAGGAGAAGAGAGAGGAGAGAAGAGAAAAGAGAAGAGAAGAAGAAAAGAGAAGAAAAAAATATGTGCAGCTGACATATGGGCCTCACGTACCTTTTTAATTTTTTTTTGCTGACTAGGATGCCATGTCAGCAAAACCGGGCAAAAATACTGCCGAGGGACCTCCGGTGAACGGTTTGAGTAAGTTCAGGGGTAAACATTTCTGGTTTTGTGGTTAAGGGGCCTCAAAAAATTTCGCTGTTAAGTTGAGGGACCTCCGGTGAACTTATTCCTAGAGATGACCAAGACAGACAGTGAACTGGAGGATATGGCTGTCAGACTTCTGGCGTGCGATGGCATAGCTGCAAGCAGGGAGACCTTTTGTCAGCTAGAGACTAGAAAACAAAAGGCTATATTCTGAACTACATGGAATGCAAGATGTACATCAGTAGTGCTGTACACTTAACGAATGAAATTCAAGGTAAGAGGAATATACTCTTACTCTGTTCAGTCATAAATATTTGAGGAAATAGACTTTGACCATGAAATTTGACCATTCATCTTATTTAGTGTAAATATGCAAAAATATAAGTCACGTTTAAAATGCATTTAATAATAAAACAAGCCACAACAAAATAAATAATATTTACATAATTTTTAAATAAGATGGATGGTCAAAGTTAATTGCGCTGAATATTTATAACCGGAAAATGAAATAAAGTAAGCTGTCTATCCTGAATCAGAACACAAGATGAGAGAAACCATACACAGAAAGGAGTAAACCAGGGCCTTCCAACACGGCTGTAATTGCTTCAACTGTAACGGTTGCTGGGTCTCTGGCGACATATCTGGAGTCGCCTTTGCTGTACTCTTTCCCTGAACAAATGCAGAGGCCATATATACCTGTTACCTCCAAGGTGAATAAACGATGGCAAGGGCAGGGCAAGTAAGCAGCAGGGACGACATACAAACTTCATCGGAGAAAGAGGGGTTTTGATTGCTGAAGAGGACTTTAACCTTCTTCTCATGAGCTCGCGAAGGCATAGGTTCCCTCCATTATGTGAGCGAGACCGGTGAAGGCCCACCAGCACATGAGCAAACGATCGGTCTTGGAGTCTTGGACAGCTTGCCTCCACATCTTCCTGCAAAGGTAAAAGCAGAAGCAATGGCATGGAGATCAGGGGCGTAGCAGGGGTAGTCCCGATGGGCTCGTGACTACCTCGATTTTGGCCCACAGACCAGATCCCCCAACCCTAAAAAAAATCAGACCCAACTGGCCCAACAACACAAGCCCAAGAACCCAACTAGATCAGGCGGCCAGGCGCTAGAGTTGTGAGGATGGAGCCGCAGCTCCTTTCGGCCTTCACCAGTACGCAGCTCCTTTAGTCAATTAAGATATTATTATTGCTATATTTGTATCACCTTTTACCCAAATTTATACTTATATGTGGGGTTTGCGATAAAATTTTCGTATGTGATGTAAACTTCCAAAGTAGGACTACCCGGCGAAAAGTTCCTGGCTACGCCACTGATGGAGATTGCTGCTAACTGGTAGTGTTTATAGTCATTGGGTCTTGGTCTTTAGAGACTTAGAAGCATGCCAATAACTGCCAAAGCAAACAATAAGCATAGTGATATGTAGTTAAAGATCCCAACTTTGCACAAAGGAGGTCAAAGGAATGATTTCTGGACTCTGAAAAAAAACAATTTTGGAGACAAATGCGGGATTGGAAAGGAAGTAGGGGATACAGATGATACGATAGACAGTAGGTAGAAGGAGAGTCGCGTACCAGAGATGAACCAGATGGCAAAGACGATAAAGATGGAGGTTCCCAGGTAGGGCACGATGATTTCCCCTTGTGACAATCACAGAGGAACGAAGTTTGGAAGGTGCAGGTCTAACGGTGTGTAAAGGTGAGGGTGCCGCATTCCTTCCAATCTGGAGCAGAGTAGGTCGTCAGGATCAGAGAACAAGACTCGCTCAATCAATCACAGGTTAAGACTGCCAGATCCCATCGATCGGTCTCCTCACCTTTTATTTGAGTAGCAATCTAATATAAAAGTATGTTTATTAGAAAACCAATATGTTAAGTTATGAGTTCATGTCCATTTCCATTGAGAACACAATCTTGAATTTAATTCCTTCAAAACTCTATCCCAAACGAATAATGAATGATATCACAAACGAACACAGTATTTCACATGTCAAATGTTTGATATCCCAAAGGAATAATAAAGAATGGATGTGGACTTGAATCAGAAATTGGCCTAACCAGTGCATGTACTTCAAAATTTCATTAATCATGGACTATATGGATTTATAAATGAATGGTACCGCTAATTGACAAAGATAGTGTACTGCACATCTACAGTCATTGTTCCTGTACATGTATGATGTATGTACTGTTTATAAGTCAGATCTCAGCAAAGTTTCTCATATTTTTAGCAACCAGCAATATAAATTAGATATGTGAATACCAAAAAATTATAATGTATACAGCACAATAGAGAACTTCAAAATAAGTCTATTTGAGTGCTGTTGCATATATTTTCAGCTATTTAGATGTGAGATTTGGGTAATGTTTGTCATAATAAGTCTATTTGGTACTCTGTACACTTTTCTAAGGTAAATATAAGAAGGAACCTAAATGATACTTTTTATATTGGCCAAATGGCTTGCGCTGCAACGGGAATAAATTTAATTACACTACAATTGTTATGCTACGGTGACAACCCAACTACAAGACATGCATGTAAAGGTCTCAAAAGTTGTATCCTGAATGTCATCAATCTTTTGGTGCAGTTCTCAAAAGTTCAGCCAAGAAGGCCAATAATTTATTCCAATCATTTAGATGATATCTCTGAAGAAAGTTGAAGTGTGACATCCACTCACACACACCAATCTTGTCTCAATGATGAAATTGAAGTGATCATGCAGTAGGGACCATACTTCTTACAACCATCTTTTAAATTCAGTAGTCCGCACCATAAAAATACTACAAACTAGTTGTTCCTTCTCACAGAAGCAGACTGCTATCACTGGTGGAGAAACCATCTTTCGTCGGTCGGCCGATTTCCACAATAGTCCCGGATGCAATAAAAACCGGGGCTAAAGATGATCTTTAGTCCCGGTTCAAAAGGGTAACGGGCATATTTGATCTTTAGTCCCGGTTTGTGTTACCAACCGGGACTAAAGATCATCTTTAGTCCCGGTTCGAATGCTGTCAGGTCATGTCAGGCCCCCCCGGGATCACCGGGACTAAAGTCGTAACTTTACCAACCGGGACTAAAGATCCCGGTGATCTTTAGCCCCGGTTGGTGCTACCAACCGGGACTAAAGTCCCACCCCTATATATATGTCTTCTTCCTCCTCCAGCTGCCCGAGCAAGCTTCAAAATTTCTTTAAAAAAGAGGGGAGGTCATGCCAAAATTTCTATTGAATTTATTTTGGTAATTACATACAAATCGGAGGTGCCTAAAAGGTTTGCAAATTCATCCTCCAATGTTTTTTTTGTCATACTACATTTGCACCTATGTTTTGCATACTTTTTTTGTCTCCAAAATTTAGTTGTAAGTTGATGAGAGAGAAAATGTGTGTGGGGAAGAAAGAATATATAGAAATTTAGTTCATTTGCTAAACAAGGTTTTATAAAATAGTTGAGAAGGAAAACTCTAGTGAAAGTTAATCTTAAATAATAGAAAACAAACTAAAATGAAAATTAAAAGAAGTAAAACACATTAAAATTAGTTTAAAACTTTACAAATAGTTTTTAAGAATTATTTGGTGTAATATTTTATGATTTTTGTATGAATAAAGATATCTTATAATTATTGTATGACTGTCATTATTGTAAGAATAATTATTTGTGTACGGTTTTTTTGACTCATGTAGATGGATCGGCAATGGATGTACGCTGACCGGCGGTCCAAAGAGTTTATTGACGGCGTGCACTATTTTTTGAGAGTGGCCGAAGCTAACAGGCAAAGGGGTTTTATTTGTTGTCCATGCAATAAGTGTAAGAATCAGAAGGAGTATTCTGCATCCAGGACTATTCATTTCCACTTGTTTGAGTCGGGGTTCATGCCAAGCTATAATTGTTGGACATCCCACGGAGAGCAAGGTGTTGAAATGGAAGAAGATGAAGTGGAAGACGTCAATATTCCGGACTTTGCTCAGTATGTTGGATTTGAAGGAAATCAAACGGGCGAGGAGGAAATAGCTGCTGATGGTAACGACGTTGCGGATGATCTTGGTCAGATGTTGCAGGACGCCAGGGAGGACTGCGAAAGTGAAAAGGAGGCCTATAAATTGGACAAGATGTTGGAGGACCACAGAACTTCGTTGTACCCAGGTTGCGAGCAGGGGCACAAAAAGTTGGATACCACTCTGGAGTTGTTGCAATGGAAGGCAAAAAATGGGGTTAGTGACAAGGCATTTGGCGATTTATTGAAACTCGTCAAGAACATTCTTCCGGGGGGAAACAAATTGCCCGAGACAACGTACGAGGCTAAGAAGATAGTCTGCCCGTTAGGACTGGAAGTTCATAAGATTCACGCATGTCCGAACGATTGTATCCTATATCGCGGTGAGGAGTATGAGAACCTAGAAGCATGCCCTGTTTGCAAAGCACTACGATACAAGATTAGATGGGACGATCCAAGAGAAGTTGACGGGCAGCTAACAAAGAAGAGAATTCCTGCTAAGGTGATGTGGTATTTCCCTATAATACCACGGCTAAGGCGTTTGTTCAGGAACAAGGGGAATGCTAGAATGTTGCGATGGCACGCTGAAGAGCGTCAACAGGACGGGATGCTGAGACACCCCGCCGATGGTTCGCAGTGGCGAAACATCGACAGAAAATTTAAAGAATTTGGAAAGGACGCACGAAACATACGGTTTGGTTTGAGTACGGATGGTATGAATCCTTTTGGAGAGATGAGCAGCGGCCATAGCACTTGGCCCGTTACGATGTGTATCTACAACCTCCCCCCCTGGCTATGCATGAAGAGGAAGTACATAATGATGCCGATTATTATTCAAGGCCCCAAGCAACCTGGTAACGACATCGACGTGTACCTAAGACCACTGGTCGAAGATCTTAAACAGTTGTGGAAGAAGGAAGGTGTCCCCGTGTGGGACGAGGACAAACAGGAGGAGTTTAACATACGAGCGCTGCTGTTCGTAACCATCAACGATTGGCCTGCACTTAGCAACCTATCCGGACAGTCCAACAAGGGGTACAAGGCTTGCACTCACTGTATGGATGAAACAGAAAGTACGTATCTTAAGCACTGTAGGAAGGTTGTATACATGGGTCATCGTCGATTCCTGTCGCGACCGAGAAAATTGCATTTTCCCGAACGCTAGTGTATTAATCCCCGTCCCAGGAAAAGCCGGGGTACACCATACAAACATGATATAAAAGACACATCTTTATTATATCGATAGTATTTACATTATTACAGAGGCGCTTCAGGCTTGGCAATCAAAAATAAACAGCAGCGGACTAGCGGGCCTACGGCTCCATCTTCACAGGCGCTCAACTGGGGTATAAGCCAGGACTCCACCTAAGACATCTTCTCCAAAGCTTCTCTTACTGAAGGGGGAAAAGATTGAGCAAGAATGAGTACAACCACAGTACTCAGCAAGTCACACCGGCAGATGCATGATTAATGCAAGGGGGTACAAGGGGATAATAATAGGGGTTAGGTTTTGCAGTAAACAGCATTTAAAAGTCACTTAGTTGCCCAAAGCCATTTATAAAGACGATCCTAGAGCTACACAGTGTTATTAATCAAGGCCGTGAACCCTCACGAACCTGCCTTAACCCAAGGCCTACGATGATTCAGACCGAACTGGCAACCCGACCCTGGGTCCCAGCTCGTCCCAAGCCAACCCAGGCCAACCATTCCACATTTTAGTTGTTAAGCAAATTTTAAGAATTAAAACACTGACTTGGGTACATTGCTCGGCTTGCCCATAACCGAGGGCGCGGCTATTCGAATAGATTATACTCTGATCAGAGGTGTACATCTTTACCCACAAGACACATCTTCCTCACGTGTAACCACGTGCCACATACCACCACGGTATACGAACGGAAGACGTGACATAGTTCCCAACCCATCCTAGCCATAAACAAGAGTACCGACCCAACCCCACCTACGGCCGGAACCTCCGGGACAGGTAGGCAGGAATGAGCCCCCAGCAGCAGGACACCAGCCCTGTGCCATGACATCTCGACTACCGGGCCGCAGCTCGTGTAGCCTTCATTTGTCCTAGAGATGTCCATCGACCCCCGACTTCGTCCATCTCCATCCGTGTACTTTTGTTTATAACCAGACTGAGCCACAAACTAAGCCTTACCCACTAGACATGTGGAAGTACGGTAGTGCTTTGCAACAGAGGCCCGAGCTTAATCCTTATAGTGGCCGGGGTGCTACTTCCCACAACTGGCATGCACCCAAACCCCACCGGAAAACAGGTTTTAGGGGTTTTGAAAGAGGAAGAGAGGTGTATGTCCAATTCCACCATAAGCCAACCATTCCAAAGTGTCCAGGTGATATGAATATTCCCAAAGTCTAGAGTTGTAAAACCACCTAATGTTATCCTATTTAATCAGCGAAGCATCTACCTAAATTCATACTAGTGGAACCATGAATAGAGTACCCACTAGTTGGGGTTTTGTTTATCCTAGGGTGAACAAGGTAATAATAACAATAACAATAATAAGGTCATAACAAAGGTAAATAGGCATGGCTAGATAAAACAGTGATAACGCGGGAATTTAAATAAAGCGATAATGCAATAATTTAAATCAACATAGTTTTATAAACTGGGATTCAATATGTTCAAGGATGATGTGACTTGCCTTGCTCGCTTTCCCAAACGTCGGCTTCAACTTCCACGAAGAGCGGATCTTCCGAAGCTGCAGCGTCTACACGACCAACGGAAAAGAAAAGGCTTTTACTCTAATAAACTCCATATA